TTATTAAACAATTCTTTCAATGTAAGTTGTTTAAGTTGCTTCGTTTTATGTGATAATACTTTCTCCTTAATTCTATAAACAGACATAATTTCTTGTTCAGTTACAAAGTTCCGCTGTTCAAGTCCCGTTAATTGCTGTGCCGAGAATACCGACTAACTCGTCAATCGAAATTTTTTTCGTTTTCACTAACCTCTCTGTCACATTCTTCGTGTCTTTACCCATTTTTTGGAGCAATTCCACTTTTTATTTGTTGGACATCGAAACATACTTCCGTTTTGTAAATCCTTTGGAAGTTCCAGCATCAGAAATTGTATTTGACGTAATCGAAATTTCAAGTTTACTTTTATAAAATTGCTCTTACAGTCTGCAAAAAATAATAAGCAGGATCCAATTCAAAGATTAAGGAATAACGCAATCATTAACATTAACTGAAATAGATAATTAGATAATTTTAGCTTACACCGTCCGTTATACATTAAACCCGCAGGCGAAAACGTATTCTTCACTTGCGCACACGCATATGCGTAGTAGTCAAGGTCTAACGCGCAAGCGTAAAACGCCTGTGCGCATGTGCCAACGCGGCGCATGCGCAGAAAGTTTTTAGCTTTAATATGTATTAGATGTCCGGATTATAGATCATTCCGGATTATGGGTGTCCGAATTAACGACTGTTGACTGTATCATCATTTTTTATCAGAATAATAAACATTTTCGTTTTCAGATAACTCATCATCGTCATCACTTTCGGATTTTAAAAGCTTAAAATCACAAAGTCTATTCAATATTAAATCACAATTTTTATCAGGATTTGAGTCATAATTAAGATGTAACAAATTACACACAGAAATAAAATCATTTGCAGTAAAAGTTTTAAGTAATTTTTGTTTTGTTTCTTCAATATTAAAATCAGATGGAAAACCGCAAAAGTTACGCAATCTAGCTCTATTTTTTTGATCACCCAAAGTTCCAAACACAATTTGATGTAAAAGTTTAATTGACTTAGTAGGCCCAGTCTTTAAAGAATTTGAAATTCTAGTAATAGAATTTAAGGTAGTCATCTTAATTTACAGTATCATAGAACACTATTCTTAGAAGTAACAATGTGAAAATAATCGAAACAAAACTTACTTATTTTGTAATATTCATAATGCTTCTTCCTAGGCTCATACCGGCCTGAGCGCCCAAATCTGTAGAATCGGTACTTACTGTCTAGGAATATGATGTTTGTAAACTTACTTCCGATGTGGCTGTCTAGGGGCTAATAAACTAGTCCGATTTATGTAAAACTTGAATATTTAATGAAACATGAATAGTTGCTACAAAACTACAAAGTAATTACATACATAGAAGGAAACAGATGAGATTATTTACAAATGAAGAGAAGGAATCGTATTTTATAAGCAAACATCTTTGAATCGCGTCATCGTCTTAATGGCGGAATCGTCTGCCTTCGTCATCGAAAAAGTAAAAGATTTACTCTCACAGCTTGTCACGTCATCCGATTATAATGAACGATGCCAACCCACATCTATATATATATAAAACATATATAATCTGTACTGACTTGTTGAAAAGTTCTGCTGTAAAAATATTTTTAAGAAAGCAAAAAGAAAGAATACAATTATTAATCAGTATATTAATATATTCTAAAGTAATATTTAATTTAAACAGGTTGTTTTGCGTTAATAATTTTCTAGATCCATGTTAAAATAATCCACTCAATTAAAGGAAGTAGAAAAAAAAAATTGTTCTCTTCAAAACTTTTTGAATTTTCCAAGTGGATACAATTATCATTCTTTAAAATAACATCAAATAACTGCATAAGCATTACGTCATTTTTTAGATCTTCGTTCAATGCATTATTTAAAAGTGTCAGCAAATGCTATCTGTGTTTACTTTTAACATTTTTAGCTCTAGATTTTATTGAAATTTATTTGTGTTTAAAATATTTTATTTTGTTGAATATACAGGGTGTCTGAGATGAAATGCTATAATTTGAAACTCTTATACCGAACATAATAAACAACCTAGGCAATTTTTTAGGTCAGAGGCTGCAGAAATTGATATTTATAATGGTTCATTAAGTTTATTTTTATTAAATGAAATGTGCTAAAAACTGAAAAGAAAAATTTGGAAAAAACTGAAAAAGGCGACAAATGTTGAAAAAATGCAAATCATGTGTGGTATGCAGAACTATGGTTCCTTATTGCAGTTCAGCTATGTTTCTATGCAGGGTGCCACAGAAACCCTCCTAATGCCTAGAGAATCAAGACGTGGAAAACAGTGATTCTAGAGACACCATCTATTGCTAAGAGGCATGGTGATGGACCATCAAGAACATCAGAGGAGACTGTTAATTGCAATTCAGATGTGTTTAAAAAGTCCTAAGAAATCCTTTTTATGGCATCGCGTGAACTTGATGTCCCAAAATCACCTATTCACGATATACTACACAAGCACCTGAAGCTTCATGCATACAAAGGGCAGTTGTTACATTACGTGAAACCCTATGATAAACCCAAATAAGCAATGATTGCTGAACACGTTCTTCACCTCTAAAAGATCTCAGATGCTAAAGGATACTGGGAGAAAAATCAAGTGTCAATTAGACATCCATCCCCTTTGTCACTCGTGGGGCTTATGTAGAAGCAATGTGATTGAACAAAATTTCAAAATTTGATGTCGGTATTTGTTGTATGAATCTTCTTTATGTATTGAATATATGTTGTATTATAGACATTTCAAATGAGGCAATTTTGTCTCAAATGCCCAGCATGCACCTTATTTAATTCATATGTCAGGCATGAAAGTTTTCCGCGTTTTCGAGCTAGGGTTCTGTTCGATCCGAACGCGAGACAATGGGGGGGGGGGAAAATCCTTTTCAACTTTCAGTATGATAATGGATGAATAATTAATCATACAGTCAAAAGTCGTTAATCCGGACTCGTCGGGACTTCGGCGATTCCGGATCATAGATCATCAGTTTAAATCTGGTAAGATGGCATGCAGAAATTACAAAATTAAAAATATGAAACCATAATTTATGAAATAAAGAACAATTATGATCTAAAGGGTATCAAAATTTACAAAAAGAAAAAGCTTAATATTTATTTGTTTACTTTATTAAACATTTCCTTCAATGTAAGTTGCTTCGTTTCATGTGATAATACTTTCTCTTTAATTCTATTAAACAGACATAATTTCTTGTTTAGTTACAAAGTTCCGCTGTTCAAGTCCTATAATTGCTGTGTTGAGAATACCGACTAATTTGTCAATCGAAATGCTTTCGTTTTCAATAACCTCTGGGTCACTTTCTTCACTATCGGAAGCGAATTATAATGACGCGAATTATAATGACGAGGAACTTGATTTAAATCATATCAAAGACCGAGATGAAATACTACACTTAGTACGGAATTATAAACCAAATAAAATAAAAACATCTGCTCTGAAGATAAGGATAGTGCTGACAGATCAACTTCCAATCCCCAGCGTGAAATTGATAAACAGATTTCGGATTTCAAAACATACTTTCGCTTTGTAGATACAAATTACATATTAGTAAATATATATCGGAAATTCTATTTGACATAATCTTTCTAATCTATCATAATCTAATAATGACGTTTCTGCCCCCCCCCTCTGCCGCAGAGCAGTGTGAAATTGATAAACAGATTTCGGATTTCAAAACATACTTTCGCTTTGTAGTAAATATATATCGGAAATTCTATTTGACATAATCGAAAGTTCAAGCTTACTTTTATAAAATTGCTCTAACAGTCTGCAAAAAATAATAAGCCAGATACGATTCGAAGATTAAGGAACAACACAATCTGCAACATTAACTGAATTAGATAACTTTAGCTTAGCGTATAACTCCGTTACACATTAAACGCGCATGCGCACAAACATATTCGCAGTGCAAGGGTCTTATGCGCTCCCGTAAACGCCTGTGCGCATGCGTGAACGCGACGCATGCGCAGAAAAGTTGAGCTTTGGGTGGTTATTGTGTACGTGTATACGAGGGGGGCTTATGTGGAAAGGCGGAACTAGATGCGCAGGATATCGAATCAAAGAAGAGCAACCAACCGTAAAACAAGAGCTGACTTCAATAATTTCAGCCATCAGTGCTGGTGCCATCTGTCGGACATAAGGATAACCACATGCATTCTCCAGTACACAAAACTCCATGTAAAAATTTAAGGAATGCTCATAAACTGTACAAAGAAGAGCTAGAGATTAAAAAGGAGGAGCGAGAATCTAAAAAAAAAAAAAAAAAAAAAAGCAATTAAACATTGCAGAAAATAAAGAAGAAAATAAAAAAAGTATCAATGGATTGTATGAAAGCTGCTGAAAAGAAATCGAGACTCGCAAACGGAAATTAAAAAAGTTGGCTGCAAAAGTAGCAAAAAAGAAAAAGCTTTTTCCCTAAAAATTTTTAATCAGGATCGAGTGAGACTGAGACAAAATAGCTATTTTTTGTATTCCTCCTTTAACTATATGTTATTTTGTAACTATATTATCTCATATGACTACTTTTTCTGGTGTTATACAAAGTACTGTTTATTGAAGATAATTGAGAGCTATAGTAACAGTTATATATTATCTCTAAAACTTGTTATTGCCTGAAAATGGGCAGTAATATATAACATAAATATGTATATTAGTGTGTTGTAATGCTGTGTACAGTATTCATGTATCAACTGTTAAATTAAGTTACATAAATAGCATCTTAAAGAAGGTTAATTCATTACAATCTCTTGGTGATTTATTAATTTTTTTTTACAAGATAAAATTAATAGCAAAATAGTAAGTACAAGTATTATTTTAGTTTAATTATATGTATATGTTTAATACTTTTTATATTAAAATGTTGTTTTTTTTTTTTTTTGAGGTCGCGCGTGCGCAATTAGTTTTTGTGTAATTTTGTGTCCGCGCGTTATTCAGCTTTTTTTGCCAACATGCGCTTTCATGCCTGATATGTGCACTTTAATTTTCAGGTATAGGCCTTCCCCTGAACAATTTCCAATTGTAGTTAGCCAAGATTGTGCTCATGAGCCTACTACAAGAGTTATACAGTCCTATGGGGATCAGCTTACACTCATACAAGTAATTTTTCTTTCTGCAATTTTGCATTAAATTTAATATTTGTTGATATTATGTTCATAAAGTTTATTCATAATGTATGCATAATGATGCGGTTGTTTACAATCATTTATTTTACTTTGTTTTTTGGGTTAATTTCCCTAATTTATTATTTTTTTTAGGTTTTGCAGTGTTGTTTTTTTTTTACTAAGGTTGATGTAATTAATTAAGATTGATATGCATATTGTTTGGGTAGATGCACTTTCTTGAACTTATAGTTCATCCAGTCAATATGGTAGTTTGATGAAGTTGGTTATTACACCATTTGGCATAGGCTTATGTGATTACAGTTGTGTTTTTACAAAATAGCCCCTTAAAGATCATCTGCATGAAAACACATGCCAGGAAACTGGTACTAGAGGAAGAAAAATGTGAGACTGGCAATCAGAAGAGGCCATCTCCCCAATGTACAGCTGATCAGAATTTGGATACAGCTTAGGCAGATGCTCTCAGATGCCGTCACTTGTTCTTCTATTATTGAACACTTTAAATGTAATAATTTTTTAAATGTCTTTTTATGTAAGCTACTAGCCTTTAACACTCTAAATGTAATAATTTTTTTAATGATTTTATATATAAGCTATTAGCTTTTTGCTTCTTTAATGTCAATTTTTAAAATGCTATTTAAATTTTAGCAATATCAGCAAAATAATAAATTTGTCTTTTAAGCTGTTAAAAATAAACTAGGGTTTGTATGGTCCTTAAAAGTCCTTAATTTTGGCCAAAATCAGCAGAGGGTCCTTAATTTTAATCATCTGAAATTACTGTCTGTTTTTACGACTGTCATTTGTGTGGGAATTAGCATTTTGGAGGAATATTTTTGTCGATTCACTGATAAATATGGTTATCTTTTGAATTGGTAAATGGGTTCGTGGGTAAAAATTTGTTCCTATTTGTAATATAATTGGTTGGATACTCGAGTTGGGAAGTATAAGCATATCAAAATTATTTCATTTTTTCCAATGAAGAGCTTTTAAACAACTTTTTGCTTTTGGGGATGTGAATTCTTTTATTAAACGGTTCTAAATTTGATGACTTATCATTATTTTGGTAATTTTAAGATTAGTTTCTATAGAAAATTTGGTGCTTTTTATTTCACTGGCACAGTCAATAAACTCACCAAAAATGATACAACTGACAATACAATGACACCAAATGGAATATCTCACTGGTAACCTTTTACCACCACATTTTCAAAACAAGTCGTGGCCATTTTTTTATTAGTTATGTCTTTTCCTAATATGTCAAAAAAGGATGAAAAACCAACGAAAATTTGGGATTTGCCCAGAACAGAGGAAGAATCTGTCTTAATTCTTTCAAGTGAAAGGCATTTTGCCTAAAATAACTACTTGTGATAATAATCATGAAATTAAATTTTATTTCAGAAATGAAATTCAGTGGCGCAGCAACCTTTCAATTTGCTGCAGTGAAAGAAGTATCCGAACAGCCCTGCGGTTTGAGTCTTCAAAATTGAGTTTCTTCTAGTGTATGAGGTTTATTTATGGTTGGAACGGAGAATTAACTTCAGCTAAATGGTATGAAAATCGGTTAGTTGGAAATCGATCACGGAACAGTTGTGGATTTGAATAAGTAGAGACACGAGGTTTGTGTGGATTCTTTGCTTAAATGTAAATAATGGAAAACAGGAGGACCTGGTATGATTGTTGAAGTGAATAAAAATGTTCACAAAGTGTAAAAATAATGTGGATCTTATTCTACCACAACAGTGGATCTTAGGTGGAGCTTGTCATGAAGCTGTCAAACCTAACCATGAGCAATTAATTATATTAGAAGCAATTAAGGAAATATCGAAAAAAACTGTATTATATTCAGATTTGTGGAAATCATTCTGCACTGAAAAACTAGAAGAGGAAAATTTCAAACATTTTAAAGTTAACTATAAACACAATTTTGTCGATCCAGAAACTGAAGTGCATGTGCAAAAAATAGAATTGGATTATTCAATTATGGCAAAGCTTACAATGGCTATCTGCCTAAAGGGAGGGATGCCTTCGTGGAGGACTTTCTAAGGGAAACTGGCTTGTATACACGTTGCACATGGGGAAAACCACAAAAAATAGAAAGACTATGGGGTAGCGCCAGATGGCGAAATAAGAAACACAGAGGAATGACACGTCATATTTTTCGCTGTCATATTATAAGAAACTTTCCATTTTGGCAACTTATTATACAATATTTTGAATGTGAAAAGTAAACTAGGTGATAAATGCTATAAAGCACAATTTATGAAACAATTCTTAGCAAAAGCAAAATTTCTATGTAATTAATTAAAAATGTCTTCTTTTTAATTTTTTCTTGCAAGAGTTTTTTTCCCTTGTGATTTTCTCAGAATATGCATCAGTTTTCTCTAAAGAATTAATATTACACTTTTCTCCCTATGATTTTCTCCCCCACAATATTTCTGGCTTTTTGCTGTCACAGAATTGGTAGGGATAATTTATCTTTTGGATATTGTAACTTGGAAAGTTTGAAAGTACTTAAAGGCAAGATTTATAGACCCATGATTTTAGAAGATTCCAGAAAAATATGATAAAATGAAAAATGTCTTCATGGTATTAACTTGTAATGGATGTATTACAGAAAGTTTGTAATGAATTTCTTACTCTTCGATGAATTTTTGGAAGAAAAATGAAAGCATAATATTTGAAAGTTTTATTTCTGATACTTGAAGTCTTTTCCTTAACATGTTTGCCTTCCTTTTTTTTTCCTGTACTTTTCATTAGACACAAGCATGGAAAATATCAAAAATGTTTCTAATCTTATCATATGAAAGTCCATAGAAATGAATTTTTCCACTAATAAAGAAATTGAAAATGAACAATTTAAACGATTCATCTTCTATGTCCCTGTGACATCATACACAGGGTTGGCACTAGGCATTTTTCCACCTGATCCAATCTCTGTGGATCCTAAATTCTACTCCCAGTCCCTACTCTAAATTCTAAACATTTTGCCATTTATAGATTTTGTTGCTCAGTGTATCACTAAATTCTAAAAATACGGCCACACTGGCTCTGTAACTGGCCCTTACCATATATCATTTCATATTTTTTTGAATGTTTATATTACTAAAAAAATAAAATTAGCAAATTTTTCTGTACATTCTGAATGCGTTTAATTTTTTTAAAATAACGGAAACCTTTAATTGTGCAAAAATTCTAAAGTGAAGAGGAAAAGAACTGAAGAAAGAAACTGAATACATAACAAGAAAGAAAATTATTCTTAAAAAAATATGTACAATTATTATTACGTAAATTAACTACTCTTTTATAATTCAGCTTTTATGAATAACTTTTCCTTTCCTTACCAGAAGGCAAATCACTTAGTCTTTAAACTGAGGTTTTTTTATTCTAAGAGAGTGTGTTTCTGGTCTCCACGTGCACACTGCATTAGTTCCTTGCCAGCTCTGATAATTTGTAATTATTCAACTTTGTGTTATCCCTGCAGACATTACGATGTTAGAGTTAGTAAGCCAGCTTAGATTAAAATTAAATTTTGTAGTCTTTCATCATTGTTCCACTTTTCTATTTGAATTTGACTGTTCTTGTTTAATTACATTAGCATGAGCTGTAATGGATTTTGCTAGCATAAGAACATGCCTTTATGTTCTTTTTTAGTAAGAGGTTTATTTAAACCTTTATCTGAATTTGTAGTTTTTTCAAACATAGTGGTAATTTGCTTTTGTTTGTCAGGAATTTTGAACTATTTAACTTTTACCAGATCAAGTAAAACCTCATAAGTACAGTGTCGAGAGTATGACAATTTAGGAGATAAATCACACAGAAACTAGTGAGAATATTAGTTTGCATACTGAGACAAATTTCTAATTGTTGGAAAAGATGCTTAAAGAGAAAAATTAGACAAAATGTCTGAGAAGGCTTCAAATTAAAAAGATGCGTAAATATTTTGTTGATTGTGATTGCTACAAAATATAACAACCCAAGCACCTAATTCTGGACATGTGTCTGTTAATGTGTAATTATCATAATATCATTTAAGAATCAATGTCATAAACTACATATATCTGATTCTAACAACAGTTTTCCACCAAAAAACATCCTTAATAAAGTCAGAAAAATATCTTGAAAGCAGTAATTTTAGCATGGGTAGTAGTCACGACCCACATCTATGATTTTCTACTAACGTTTTGGTAGTTTCCTTTGGCCTAGAAACTTGGTGGCCGTGAGTCCAAAAAGAGATCAACCTCATTTCATACATCCGTGCAGAATGAAAGATGGTACCAGCAAGATGTAGCTGTAGGTGTGTACAAGGTTAGAAGTCTGAAGGAGCGATGTCAGGGCTATATGGTGTGGCAAATGATCCCATTTTAGTCTATACAGAGCATCTAGTGAATGCAGACACATGTGGTCTTGCATTATTTTGATGGAGCATTATCTTTTTGTGTTGCAACTCAGTTCAACGTTTTTCTGAGGTTTTTATCTTTTTGCAGATAGTCTTTGTGGATACCATGGCTATCCCACTGAATACAAAGCATGATCTTTTTGTTAAATTGTGCTTTTTGATGCTGCTGATGGGCTCACCGGCTGCAGACTAACCCCATTTTCAGCCTGTGTTGAAGTAAATCTATTTTTCATCACAAGTGACAATCCGGTCCAGAATTTTGGCTTTGCAGATTAGTGCAGGCCCGAATTCGTCTGTCCTTATCCTCTTGAGTCAGCTCATGCGGCATCCAGCAATTGAACTTTTAAGTCAAGTTTATGCAATGTATAGCTCAACTAATGGACATGGCACTAATATCTAACTCCTTAGCAAGCTCTTGAGTGGTTGCATACTGATCTCCTTCCAGTATTCTTGCAGGTGGGCCTCCTGCTTCTTGAATGTCATAGTCCTTCTTTTTGAACTTTCAGTATGAGACCTTCACAGTGTCATATGATACAACATTAGTACCACATGATTTTATTTTCAAATTTTTATGTTTAGTA